CATTCTGCTCATATCATGCCATTTTTCCATTCGTTGACTATTCATGGACATTTCTATATCAATTAAGCACCTAAAACACTGTTCGATTTTGTGTGCTGCCATTTAAGTGGTATTAAATAGCTTTGGAATACCTTAATTTGCACCTCTACAGTGATGCCTAAGGAGCTTTCTCAGAATCACTACAGCAAAGCCAATTATTGTGAATAAAAATTAATGTTTTCTTCATTATTGCTTAAGCAACTAATGTAATGTGTATAATATTCTAATATTTACAGAATTATTAAGAATTTAATTAAAATAAACACACATTTTTTGAAGTCAATTTCTTGTGTTATATATCTTGAAAAACATTCTAAACTATAAATGAAAACACAAAGTCGGAAATTCGCATAAAAGTACAAGATTGTTTCTTTAAAACAAAAAGAAATCTTGCTTCTACGTTTATTGGTTTAGAAGAAATGACCCTTCAAATATACCCCAAAACCTTACATCCTGTGGTGGAAAACTGTGAGGCTGAGGTTATGACCTGAATGTGTTAAATGATATGGCCTGTGAGACAGTTTGAAAAGATGAGCACGTGGACACTAAGGCTGTGTGTTTGAATTTTCAAAAGATTAAATTGCAAAAGTTATAATTTTTTCCTCCTCCTCCTCCAACAACTTGGTTTTTTCATATAAAATGTTATTTCTTAATGAAATACATTCTTTAAATTCAGATAAATAATATGAAGTGCAATTTTTTCAAAATACGAATACTAGTTTTTACGTAACTCTAATCAAATAAGGACAATTAAAAAATTCATAAAGATTTATTTTTTTTTTTACAAAAATAGCTCCACAATTTTAATTTTTCAAAACTTTTAAGTTTCCTGTTCAAGTAAAATGTGTTTAATAATATAATACATACCCTATTTTCATTAAACAATTTGGAATTTTGACAACATATTATAATGCAATACAGTTTCCCAACTTAGCTCAGTTGGCACCAAACAGTATTATTATCTCCCAAGTTCAAGCCTCAAGTAAACATTTTTACTTTTCATTTATACAGAGTAATATATGTAGTATAGAGAAAGTTATGAAATGCTGCACAAAAAACAGTGTTTTTTGACAGAAAATTCATTGCCCGGCCCTCCTAATGGAAAAAATTGATAAATTCAGTTGCTAAATCATGAACAAAAAATGAAAAAAAATACTCTAACATGAGGTATAGATAGATTCTGGTTTTGTGGGTCAATGATATCAAAAAAACAATTAACGGTAAAACGTCCATTCGTCTGAGAACATCACGAGCACCCTAACCTTAGCCTTGCTGTAGGATGGATTCCACCTAGTGGATTCCACCCAGTCAGAGTCAATGGATTTTCCCTAATATAATGTAGAGAAATAAAAAGTAAAAATTTAAAAAAATTGACCTATCCACATGATTCTCTACATTATAATTATAATACGAGGTCAACATCAACAGAATGAATTTGGCAATTATTGTAAAAAGTTGCATTAACCACTACATGTTTTCAGCAATATTAAATCTTTCATAACATCAAAAGCACTAACAGTGTTTTCTAGAGCTTGTTACAAGGCAGGAGATACTGAAACAAGAGCCTGTAATATCTAGCAGACACATCAATCTCCTAAATTGGCTTGCACAGCATCTCTGGAGAACACAAGGCCAAACCACTAAAGAAACAACTTGCCAAGGATCATCCCAGGGAAGAAAATGGAAACTTCAACCGAGATGCAAACTTCCCCTTGGACACCATACATACATACATACATACATACATACATACATACATACTACATGCATGTACACATTCTTACATACAATCACACATTCGATCTTGAGTTTTCTTCAGAAACATTAGTGATAGCAAACCTACAATACGTGTCAGATGTGACAAACCCAGGTATTTTAGTTGGCATGCATTGATATCAGTTATGGCCGAAGAACAGTCAATAGACTGTGTGCTTACTTGTTTCGCCCACTAGTTGCTTCTTGCTTGTGATCAACTCTTGTTAACTTAGTATCTGGAAAGCTGCTTGGAATTGATTATTGGATACTTTGGACACTGAAAAATGTAGTGATGGTTTACACATCTAGTGATGTTTCCGATTTTCCTCCCTACATACTTTTGTAAGAGTTCATTCTCAGAATTAAAAAATTAATAATTAAATAGATATATCCCACATACAACTCTTTTTTTCCAAGAACTATAAGCAACAACTTTATGGTTATTCGTAGATGTGACAACGTCTGCAAATGCTGACATACCCGAGTTTGAAGGTCTTGCCTCAATTGATCTCTGCTTTCCTCGACGCAATGTTTTTACATCTTACCTCTGCAACAGCTTCTTTATACTTTGAAAAGATATTCAACAAACTTTTTCAACTTTTTATTTTTGTTTAGCTAAATTTGAAGAAATTATTTTCTTTGAGGACCTGCCAATTAAGGTATTTAGAACTTTAGTGGAATTATTTGAAATTTTCAATATTTACAATACATATTAAATACCATTCTGTTTTCCAATACAACAATGTTAAATATAATATATTATCATAAATAATATCAGAAGAGATTCATCAGTAAATTTCAAATCATGGGTAATTCACTTAACATTTCTAAAAGATTAACAGGTTCTCAACAACAAAGGACAGGGAGCTCCATTATCCAACTGGAATATTCAATTTTTGGAGAGATCACAACAAGAGTTGACAAAATTCAAGGATGATTGGTCTAATGAAAGTTGAAAGTCATCCTGCTATGAAATTGTTCACTCATTATTTGTCAAATCTGCAGTTCAGACAGGGTATTGATTGCATTCTGTTCATTTCTTTGGTGGATGTTTGTTTCCTATTGTTACAGCTACTCTTGAGGTGTGTTACTGTTATGTAAATTAAGAGTAACATAAGAATGCAATGAACCATATATCATTTATAAAGCAGCATTCAAGGAAATATACCAAATTTAAGTTCTTAAATAGGAACTAACATCATAATCCATAAATGAATGGCCATGAGCATGTGTCCAGTACCCTGGCTTGGCAGCTGCAACCATTTCGTGCAAGTGTGTGACACCACATTTCCCCACTCTCAACCCTTAAGAAATTTTGATGAGACCATAGCGTGGCTATGTTATGAATACAGTAATAAATTAGAACAGAACTATATAAAAAGAGATAAAACAAAAAAGTGCAATTCAAATATCAGCCATGTCATTCTTTTTACGACAAATATTTGGCAGTTATAACGAAATTTCAAATCAATTTAATGACATTGGATTAATTTGCAGTAGCCCCAAAAATTTCTGGATACACACTGTCAGAATAAAACACAGAGAAATAAGAATGTTAAGTACAAAACTCTCAAAAAGGTGATTTCCTTTGTTAAGACCCATTTCAATAACTTTCAACAACTTGAATCAGCTAAAAATGTTTGCTTACTGAACCAAGCTGGGAGAAGGGGAGCACAAAATTGTTAATTTTTGCTTATAATGTCCACACTACTATACATGATATGAAAATAAATTTTAGCAGCAAATACAAATTTATTTTTATTGAAAATTGTTTATAATATTTTTGCTAGAAAAAATTATTATTAAAATTGTTGCACACAATATACAGTACTTGTGATTTTATAACTTAGCACACATAAGATCATAAGATGCAAAGTTTTTCTTTTATTTCAAACTATTCGCATCATCCACTTACTTCTCTTATAAATACAGTTGGACATCCATATAACACCTTTACCAATGTTTTTATTTATTAGAGTTTGGCTATCACCACCACCAGTTTTTATTTTTCAGAATTCAGCTACTACCGAATGATCTGCCATAAGATTGTCAAGATTGAATATCACAATTTCGGGAGTAGACCTTCCTCAAAAGGATAAATTTCAATGAGACATGCCAACTATCTGTTTTCCTTGTATATTTTTGGACTTTTCCCTGTTTCTCTAGAAATTGGTCACCCACTCCACAGCTCAGTGACCATCAGCCACTCCACTTGGCTGCATTTCTTTATTAGTGTCGCCTCCAACATTGTTTACCAATCCACTACTGTACCCAACTACACAAAAGATTTGTGGAAGAACAAATTGTTGTGTAAATTTATTGTACATTCCAGATATATCTCATACACATAAAATACCATATCTTATATACATACGATACCATATCTTCATTATTAATAAATTCTCGTAAATTATATGACAAACGATTTTTTTATCTTAAAGACTCTAAAATATTTAATTGATTCTGATCTCGTAAATTTAATACCACAGATTATGAATATTTAGTGCAAAATCCAATAGTAAATACATAGCTGCAGTTCGATCACTACAAACACGAATAATTTTTTAAATCTCGTAAACACCAAAACTATTAAAGATTAATTATGATATAAATAAAATTCCTATGTTTACACTACATTATAAATATATTTTCATGTAAAATCTTTCAAGGCTTCTCATTTAAGTTCTTACTTTCCTTACACTCAACATCGACAAAATCAATGGTAATCCTGCTTTCTAAATAAAGCGAAGTACTATTTTCAATACCCATTCACTTTTCAATATACAGTGGAACCTCAGAACTTCTGCAATCCTCAGAGGGACATGTGTTACCTCCGACAAAAATAAAGTTTAAGACAAGCAATTCTAAAAGGCGTAGAATTGATATAGTTCAAAAGACTTAACATTAATTGAGTACCCTTCTAGGGTAAATCGGTAACCTGAAGTGATTTTAAAGGGGGCGAAATAAAGGTTTTAACAAATAGTGTATGGTCCAAAATTTTTAATAACTAAAAGGAACTCTCACAGATTGCAAATTTAACCAAGATTTCTTGTACATTCAGAACGCACTATTAGATCTGATGTATTTAATAATATTATTTTTATTCAAAAACTGAAAAAGGTGCTATAATATAAAATTGTTATAATTAAGAATTGCTAATGAAAAATTGTCCATGCAACTTTATACATAAAGAAAACACAATTTACCTCTCGAGCCATTTCCATTGGAGGTAGCGATGAAAATACATGGAACATTCGAACTGCCTAAAAGGATCTCCCGCGAGGAAAGTTTTGACAGCTGACATACAATCCACAAATAATTCCTTACTAGCCCCGTTTAATTTTTTCTTGACATTTTCAATTGTTTCAGCATTTATAATATTTATTACTTCTTTTACCTACAAACAAAAATTAAGAAGCAAAACTGAAGCAACAATATATTACTTAGACCTTCAAAAATACAATCAATTTTAAATGTGCAATGGATATTCCAAGCCCAATCTTTAGGTTTTGATCTACTTTATACTGTAATTACGAATGTTAGTCATGTGGCAAGTTTCAGTCATTTCTATGCTGAATGAATTAACATAAATGACTACAATAAGTTTTGAACTTGCAAAAATTGAAATATGAATGTGTGACTGAACTGTTAGACAAGATTGACAATTGCTTTTCCAATAATATAAAAAAATAAGACAGTTTGCCCCTTAATATTAACCATTTAATCATTAGGCTACAATCTCTAGACTCAGAGATACTGATTATATTAAGCTACGTTAAATCAGACTAAAATAATACAGACAGCAAAGACATAAGGAAATCCTCAATATTTTTATAAACATTACCTGAATTTCTATGAATTGTTACCAAAATATTTCTGTGAATATATCAACTAACTACTGAACTTACATCAGGCTGGAGATGGTGCTGAAAGATAGTCTCTGCCAATTCCAGTCTGTTTTCATCTGATTCAATTTCATACTGTTCCTGGTAAAAAGAAATCGACAAATTAAAGTAGTATTAAATATCAGAGATTTATATAATTAACAAGTGAGAAGATATGTTTGAAAACAGATTTAGCTATTTTATTAAGGAGGTTTACATTCGCTTTACTATCAACATTATTTTGGAGATTCACACAATAACTCATCAATCTAGATCTCTGGGATACTCCTGATAGTAAAATAAAAATAGGGTTGAGGGAAATTTGAATTAAATATGTGTATAAAATGTCAGGTTTGGATGAAAATTTCTATCTTCCATTTTCCCTAGAAAATACTAATAAAATGTGTTTGAAAATACATTTCAAGATTCAAAACCATTACTTCATTTAACAATGTACTCATCAAGGTATTCCAGACAATCCTCAACAGGTACACCAGAAAAAAAGAGAAGTATTTTCTTACCACAAAAAAATTTACACTTACAGCCAAATCTAGAAAGTTATTATAACGATGGTACTCTGGGCAAGCAGTTTCACAGAACTGTCGAAACAGCAGTCTCCCAATTGGTTGTCGGTCCACCACATATGAGTATTTCACATCTGTAGATAAAAATATGTTACAACAATAAAACCAACATATCGACAATTTCAAAATTATTTCACCTCAAAATTCATTTTTTCATCTACATACTCAGATATGACGTTAATAATATAAAATATAAAATCTTGCATAATGAAATTAATACACGATTAAAAAAATGTAAACCAAGAAATGAGAGACAAAAGGGAAATGTGAAGTGGGAGAGAACAAGGAGGCAAGTCTCGAATCTGGCAGAGAGGAAATTACAGAGAAAATAAATTGAGAGAGAAAAATCTGCAGTTTAATGTAGATAATACAATAATTTCTCACTAAAAGTTTGTGAATTGCTATTGCTTTGTGAATTGCTGCTATTAAAGTTCAACACAATGTTAAAATTCATAAGTTTTTATTAAGATAATATTTATTTTCAGAATGTATGTCTGCTATTAAAGTTAGATAGTATCTTAAGAATGAGGATAAGTTCTGTCCATTTGAGATCTTGAGTGAAGTGAATTTCTCATGTCTATTGACTTCCAATATGCACCTCTTCTCAGAGGGAAATGGCTGTATGTGTGTGTATATATATATATGTATGTCTGTCCAGTACCAAATAAATAATGAAATAAACTTGGAGAATAATATCTGAAGACAAGTGATCCAAAAGGATAATGAATATGTTAAAGCACATTATATTAACACTTTTCTGCTTCTATTGATTTGCAAATACAATACAACTCCTATTATCTGAACCCCAATTATCCAAATCGAGTGAGAGAAAATGTACCAAGCATACAGCTACTTGTCAAATGTCTAAGGAGTAGTTCTGCACATAAATAAATTAATTCTTCTACAAGACACACTATTTTATGTATTTTTGACTAAAATAGGATATGTGCATTCATATTTTATTGTTCATAAATTTTAATACACAAATACAAAAATTATAAGCTTTCAACAGATTGATTTTGTGGTTTCTTGTCTATGCAAATCTTAACAGTAAATACATTTTTCTGTACCTAACGTTTGTTCGCTTAATTCCTAGGATTACAATAAACTTTTTTTCTCTTTGACATATTTTCAACTTCATTTAGAATACTTATTCAAACAATTAAATTTCAGCATATCTGTATCAACTCAATTCCACTTTAATTTGAATAACTGAATTTCTTCCATAACCTGGTCTCTAAAATTTGTCTTCCTGGATAAAGATGCAGTCAACATGAAATTGAACCTCTGTTTTACAACAGCAAAATCCCCCTTCAATCAAATTCTCCTGTGTAAGGCATAATAGAAAATTCACTTAAATAAATACATTGTTATCAACCTGAAACAACATTTCAAAAAATCAAAATTTTTGGGAAATTTTAAATGGGCAAAATTTTTAATATTTACAACCACAATCTTAGGAAGCACCAGCCAAGTTACAAAGCTCCCATATAAAAGGGACTTTAGAAACAATGCTTCTTATAACATACATGTTGAATGAAGCATCATGGAATATTCCATGTAACACTAAATAAAACATTTTGTACGTTACAAGGCATGAGCTTACAATTACACTTGTCATGAATATTAAGTTTATCTAAATTCACTTCTAAAAATGTTCACTTTAAAAAACACACACACACAACCCATACTTGAATTATTAACACTCACCAATTTTGTTTTTTAAATCTATACATTGTGATATGTGAGGAAACTGCAAAATCTTTCTCCATTTTTTACTCTTTCCTTTGTTACTATCTGCTCCACCTGCAAACAGAAAAAAGCAATTTAATTATACAAATTAGAAAGTCAACCCTCATTGCATATTTTATCTACAACTGCTATTATAATAAATGTAAATGTTGTCATGAGAAATAAACTGAGGGAACAAAAGCAGAATTGCAATTTTGTTTTCCAAACTAAAGGAACTTTGTTAAATGCAATTTTACATCATGTAATTCACTTCCAACAAATTCACTCATTGTAGCTTTATCTTTCATTTTATACTTCACAAACACAACAAACTTCCAATAAATATTATTTGCAGATTATGTTCACCTTTTCCTCTCATGAAAGTACCAAATGCACTTTAAAAAATTAAATAATCCATGCTCTGATTTGCATTTCTATGATACATCTACGCTTTAGTACGCATAAGGTTATACAAGGTATTGTTCCACATTCTTTCCATTATTTACTAGTAATAAGTAACTGAAAAAACTGACCAGGCAATTATAAAGAAAACAGAATTTGGACTTTCAAATCTATCAATTAAAGAAAAATGAAAAATATCACAAACAGCTTAAGCTGTGCTGAAGGCTAAAGAAATGTGTAACATTCATTAACAAGAACCTCTGAGAATCACAAATTTTTTAATGAAATGAATCCAATGAAATTGAGCCTTAAGAAACATAACTTCTTGTGTGGGAAATGGTAGTTCGCAATATTGAAGCCTTAAGAGAAGTACAGGAAGTACCATAACTACACAATGATCTGCTAAAAAGTTTGTAGAATTCCACTCTTATTTATAAAACTATACTCACCAATTCAGAATTTTATTAATTAAAAAAATAAAATAATAGTAGAATTACATTTCAAAAGAAAAAGGAATAATAAAAGTGGAATTTAATGGTAAAAGAAATTTTCCTATTGAAAGGTGTAAGACTTCAATTGCAGCTGCCCAACACAAACCTGCTAAGAATAGTACTGGACGAACAAAAAAAAAAAAGAGAGAGAGAGAGAGAGATGGAAAAAAATATGGCCAGATTTCTACTGTACTGATGCGAATAGAGAATGGACAGAGGCAGGGTACAAGCAAAGGCATGTGATTACGCGCCTGGCAGGGCATGGGTTCCACCATCAGCTATGTCAGACATACAGTTTCCACGAACTTAAATAACAAATGTACATGCAGTGAATGTGAAAGACAGTGTAAGCATTCTCACATAATAAATTACACCAACCAAACCAAATCTATAACCATGTATGCTGTCAAAACTATATTCATCTATATCCAAAATCTATAACCATGTATGTGTCAACAAATTGCACGATATGTGCGAATTTCCATCATTATTAATAAATGTGAATAAATCTCACAACGCTTACTTTCTCTCAACAAAGGTTTTTCTATTTTACTTTCTCAGCATATACAAGTATATCAATTTTGGCAAACATCATAAAAAAATATTACAAGGTACCACTAATATATATTGGAGATAATGATAATAAAATAATTAGGGCAATTTCAAAATGTGAACTTTATGTAACTTCAGTAAATTTGGACACTATTCTTTTCTTTGAAACAAATTGATATAACTTTTTTTTTTTAATTATAAAATTTTAATGGTTAATACCTGGATCATATTAATCTTCCGAATTGCAGTGAAAGATTTTTAACCTCTATTTAAACATAAAATGACCACTAAAAATCTAACAATCAAAGATGCACAAGACTTAGGGATAAAAAATTACAAATTTGGAGAGTAAACAATATCCACTAAAGGCACTTCAATCACCTTATAATGACTGAAAGATGGCAACCTATGAGAAGTATTAACTAAATGTAGAAGCAAATAATACATAGAAATTTTGTTTTATGTTTGAATAAATACAGCTCTTAAAATCAATTAACTTCTGGGTTGCACATTTTCTATAACCTTCTAATTGAAAAGCACTCAGGTGTTCAATAGTTCCCTCAAAAAACTGCCATTTTATCCAAATGGGGAAACGTCTTTCTATAGACCTTTTAACTATTAGACAGTAAGGTTAGTGTTTAACAATATTAACGAAAACTTACGAAGAGACCTTTCTTTCCGGTTAAATCTTGATTTTCTTTATTTTAATTATTTTTCATACAAATATATTTTAAATTTTCGCCGATGGTTCCTTATTCATAAGATAAAAATGTGTGGCACTGATATCAATCATAGAATCGATCTTGGAATGCGTCGCATAATCTTTAAAATTCAATTGCGATCCAAATCAAACAAATAGTATAAATGAAAAGTGGGAGAGGTGTCAGAGAATTGCAGAAACATAATTTGTTAGGATACGCATACCATCTGCATGCTATCGTTCATACTCGATACAGACGTCAGGGGCTTACCCTACATGAATGTGAATGGTTATCAAAACATTCCAACCTACCTTCTCTCGCTTTTAAATATACTGTGTTCGCAACAATATTTTCTAATTCCATGAGTTCCAGTTTGCCTGTTTTCCCGATCCACGGGCCGATATCGACCCTGTCCCATCAAAATGTTTACTTCACTCCGAGCGGGGTGTGGTGGAGCGGATAAGATGGCGTCGGAAATTACAACTTGAAGCAGATATTATTCAAATACCGGAAATGTCACAAAGAGCGATGGCGTTTGTTTACGCCTAATGACCCTATATGTTCTTTAACAAACTTGGGCCAATGTGACTTCACAATATGCTCGATTGCTTCCAATTTTCGTAAAAAGAGAAATCTGTAAGCCGGCGAACGTTGTACCGTTGAGCCCACAGCAGCTGTATTTCCTGCTACGGATGTTTCCCCCAAATGTCTACCACCCGACACTTAACGGGCGCTGAGGTAACAATGCACATAACGTTGTATTACTGAGCATATGAAATTAAAAGATACGAAGAAGAGATGACAAAGCGAGGCACAACGTCCGTACTTTTCATAACAGATGCCTGTCAACATTATAAGAATTCTCATCTTAATTTTCTAAAATGGTAAAATGCGGAAAAACACATGTCGAAATTCTTCTGGGAAAAATTAAACAATAATAAATGAGAACGATCCTAGGAACCAAGAGGATCATAGGAATTCGGTAACCAACTACCTGCAATAGAATCATCATCTAGGAAGAGCTAGAGCGCAGATAGAACACTTGCCCATATCGCCCTAGGATATAGCCTAGCTTACGTGGAGTAGTGAGTTGTAGACATCACTCGACCTCCGCAAAATGTTTTCTAGAATTTATCTAAATATTTTTTGAATAGTTTATATAATAAAGAACCTGTAACATTATGATTTATTATTTGTTAACATATTCTTTTCAATAATAAATGAATCTTTATTTTCTTGAATAAATAATAGTGAATTTAGTATTTTTGAAATTGAAGTACTTCTCGAAAGTTAGCTTAGGGTTATAGTATGTTTAGGGTTATATTTCGGGTGAATATCCCGACCAGCTAAGAAGCGAAAAATTAATCATGTTTTAGTCACGTAGGTTGGTAGCACGACAATTGAATGTAGTAATATTCGTGATGTGTGAAGTGAATGGCGAAGGATGCTGTGATGGTGTTGTGTAATAAAATGTAACGTAAAAAAAAATAATAATCTGTTAGTGTTTTCCAGGGAAAACATTTCAGTATAATTTTAAATCGACATGGCGCTGAAGTTGTATGAGTACGTACAGCGATGTTACTGGCTTTTGTTTTTTAGTTGGTATTTTCTGACACTATCATAGACACATTTAGGTGCTCTGTGACAGTGCCGGTGCTAGGCATGGACATACCGGGCGAAGGCATGGGGCCTCGCATGTCAAAGGGCCCAATAATGGGACTGATGAGAAAAAAATAGTAAAAAATTGAAAAAGAGATTAGAACTCGAAAAGATCGTTATCGTATATTTTTAAAGCAATAGTCTGATATTTCATAAAATTTTCAATTAATGTTTTACCATGTTTCATTTTGATATCACCTTCGACCACAAACACACAGGGTGAAATAGAGTTAGTTACTAGTCAGATGCAGCAGAAAAACATCCAGGTAGATACTTGAAAACGATTCACACAATGCAGCGTAATGTTCAATCTCTTTCTAATAAAACTGAATTTAAAAAGGCTTCTTTAGTCAGCGATTTAAATCAAATAGATGCTCTTTGCTCCATAGAACAGTGGTTATATCGAAATGAACTTAGCATTTTCCAAATTCCGTACTTTCATTTTGTAGGCTATTAATATAGTGCAAGAGAATCAAATGAGTTCTGCATACGGAAGTTCTCGTATTTACGTTAGAAATTATATCATTTCTACCTTCTTGATTAAGTTTGATTAATTGATTCTACCTCCTCGATTAACTACTACTACAACACTCGACATAGTAATCGTATTCATCGGGTAACACTATCAACAACTCACTACAAAAAAATCACATATGATACATGTACATTATTTTAGAACATCTTGCCAGATGACATTAAACGATTAAATTCGATACAAAAGTTTAAGTCCCATGTAAAATATTTTCTGTTTCTGTATAATTAGGCACAACTGTTTCTATATAATTAGAGACTATACCTAGCATCCAAAAGGAAAGTAATATTAATTTTAACAGTGACATTTAATGTATTGTATAATACGTTACATGTACAAATTATCATTTGGATTGTTCAATTGTAAAGAACCTGTAACAAGTATTGAACTTCAGTTTCTGGGTCAATGACCCCCATCTCGATCAGGTTTGCGTGTAGTTTCCCTGATCCTGGAGCGAATGCTGAGATGGCCCCTTGTCTTGCTTCTAGACATAAACGTTACTTCAAATTAACTTCTCCCCATAGCACGTCACACACAGTTTTTAACTGTTGACGTAAATAAGTAAGTAATAATAAATAAATAAATAAATAAATAAATAAATAAATAAATAAATAAATAAATAAATAAATAACATAAATACATACATACATACATACATACATACATACATACATACATACATACATACATACATACATTTTAGACATTAGGCTAAACATTTCATGGAAACCTAATACTAAGGACAATACGAGGGATTAGAACATCAAATAAAACCTAAGGAATTCTTAATTTCATTTCTAAGCATCATAATGTCGTTTCCACCCCTACTTCCAAAAATAGAAATCATTGTCAAGGAAAGTCATTAAGGCAGGCTAAAATCATGAAACATATTATTAACTCAAATTACAAAACAATGTGTAATATAGTAAAAAATACAACTATATGAACTAGACGCTGTCTTTGAAAATTATTCACGCTTGCATTGAACGCTCTTCCCGGTTTGGTTTAGTCCAGTTGGCATATGCCGAAAACGGAAAAGCAAAGGTGTGGGGAAAGAGTACTTTACTACCCCAGGCAGTTTTATATTATTTATTTAACATCAATAAGCATTTAAAAACTATGACGTACATACTATAGACAGAAGTGTTATTGTGCACGGTATTGTGAGCTCTGTGATCACTATCGTAACTCTTATACTGCCAAACGGTATGAAAATGGGGTAAAATGTCATTGTTTTGTACATAACTAGTAAATTGTACACCTTGAAAGACACAATTTCACACCAAATGGTCATATTTATCTTTTCCATTCATTCTCAGTATCAGAAATAAAATAATTATCACTGTTGGTAATGAAATAGGTTTTTGGTGTCCCATTTCTCCCCCTCGCGTCGAGTGGGTACGGTTTTTTAATAATAAAATACAAAATATAAGGTCTGGACCATTATTACCCCAACAGAATAATATTAAAGAATAGCAAAATGCCCACTTCTGGAAGGATGTTTTAAAAATTATGAGTTAGGGAGGAGTATAAAAGAAAAGAAAATGTACGTAATCGCCTTCTTAATTGTGAAATTTTTGAGCAGATTTGCCAATTTATAGCAAAAAAAAAAAAGAATAAATCAAGTAAAGATGAACCAATCTACTTAAGGTACCACAAACAAAATAAAAAAGGAATGTTTTTTTAACTTCAACACTTTATATTTGTCACCCTGAAACTGTTTTGTTTTAACTCAGAAGGTGAGTAAATAATCACCATTCATTCCAGTTCATTATTTCTACTCTTTTGAAATTGTTGTTGAAGACACGAACACAATCAACCAAGAGCAATTAGACGAATTCCATACGAAAGTAAATTTGAAAGTAAAATATTATGATCAATGTCGTCAAATGCTTTGAGAGTTCTAAAAATATTCCAATAGGTGCTTCATTTTGATTCATTAATAAAGCGACATACGGCTGTTTACGAACATTTTGATTTTCTACATTTAAGTTGGATTCGTATTTACCGAGATTTCCATTCGTACGTAGTGAAGTGTCTCTTAAAGTTTTTCAGTAAATTTACAAGTGTAACTGACCTATATTTTTGAATTTACATGAAGCCCTCTGAACATTTTCAAAATTTTCTCAAAATCTGTCCAACTTTTTTCAAATTTATTGTAAGAATAGAGTACCATACACTTATAAACGTGGCATAGGTCCAATTTTCACGGTTAACTCTAAATTTTCGAAAAATTCTAAAGTATGATTTTTTTCGTTTTCTTTCTACAACTACAAATTAAAGATAGGCGATTTTCCTTCAAATACAATTTGTTTTCCTTAGTGAGTTTTTTCATTTAGGTCATGTACATTGTTTTGAAAATTTTAGTAGTTTCCGCACAGTATTTCCTGCAATAGGTGCAATTTTAAAAAAATTCAAAAAGAAGATTTTGTCAAAAACGGCAAACTTTTTCTTTAAATTTTTGGTAGGGATAGTTCTAAAAACACTCTATCAGATCACATAAACGCCATATTGCTCTATTCCATAAATGTAATTTTTTGAAAGATCTCTCACGCCGTTAATATGAATATTTACAGCAATTTGTAAACACTATTGTATTTTTGAGTTAAAGTACTTAAAATAACTTTAAATTAAAATTTTCAAAACCTCAAAAATTTTTATTGAAAAAAAAACACTTTAAATTTCGAATTTACAGAAGAGCTCAAGCACCATTTTCTTAAAAGCAGCTCCAATTGTTTCAAAGGAATTTGCCATTTAGAACGAAGTTTTACTGTTCTTTAATAATCTTAAAATAATATTTCCGTTCTAGAATATTAGGAAACCGAAAAATTAAGAAAATATCAAAGAATGTACTTTGGGCGGCGATAGACGGCAGCTAGCAAGAGTATGTGGCAAGTTTGTATAGCTAGCCGAGACCAAAGGAAATAGAAAACTAATATGGGAAAGTCTGTGCCATTTGTAGCACCACTAGTTTAAATTTATTTGTAGTATTACCATTTTCAAAAATATAAACAAGTTTTCAAAAAAATCACAGTTTTTAATTGCGCCTATCACTGCTTACCAACTGTGTTATAACAAAAATTTGCTCTCCTGCTCGGAGCCGAGACGCGGAGCAAAGCTAGTGCCGGACGCGGCGCCGGGCATGCAGTGTTCCAATGTTGGTAAGGAAGTGGGGGAGAAAGATTTGCTCGATAATTGCGTTTTTAAATGGTAGTTATTATTTAAGTGTTTATGATTGAATAAAAATGTGAAAATTTAAAATATAGAACGTAGATTATTTCATAACACCAAGCAATATTCGATTCCATTTATCGCAACCAGTCCTGTAATTCAACTTCCATTCTTATAACACATAACATTTTTGGAGAAGACGGTTTTAATATTCTAATACAATTTTTCATACAATGTTATATAATATAACAATTTTAGTTCGTCCTGATCCTATAACATAGGCACACAAATAAAAAAAAGTTTTAAATAAGTAAAATAAAGATCCAAAGACTTGAAACAAGTTTCTCTATGTATGTCAACGCGCTGAATCCGAATCTGCAACTAGAATTGCGCCACCACCCTCCAGTTTTTTTTATTTGCGAAAAAACACAGTTAAATTTACAATTGCACGGTGGTGTTTTTGCGATTTAAAAAACTTGAAGGTCGTTACGCAATTCTGGTTTCAGAATCGGATTAAGCGCGTCAACATACATAGAAAAACATGTGTAGAGTCTTCGGGTTTGATACTAACAACTGAAAAAAAAAAAATACTATGACACGTTGGTTTTTCGCGAATAAAAAAACTGGTAGTGAAGGGGTAATTCTGGCTTCAGATTCGGATTCAGCGCGTCAATATACATAGAGAAGCAT